AGTGCCTCCCTATGCACACAATCAGTACAACAACCATGCTCTCTGTAGTTACGGCACTTAGAGAAACAATCAGCACTCTTCCTTTACTCTTTATACCATAACCACTGAGCTGACACTTTTCTAAACCTTGCTTGCCTATTTAGAGAATCAAAACAAAGTCAAAGACGATTGGAACTGATCTACACAATTCAAACTTGAGGTAAAAATAAATACAAAAATTATAGAGATTGTCATTCTTCCTGAGATTTGAGTTTCACAGAGGGGTGGCCAGAAACTCATAACGGTATCAAAAATGTGCTTGTTACTCTAAATTAGTTTTTATAGTCTTTCAGAACTGTCTGGAGTATTGTTTTCAAATGGATAAAAACTGTTATTTTAAAAGATTCCTTTGCTATGGGTTTTGAACATTATATATTACAGTGCATAAAGAACATTTTTATCATTATTGTTTCTACAACACAACAAGTTATTTTTCTCATACACTTTAAGGTATGTATGTGCACCATGCATCAGGCTGCATAGGTTCTAGGATACCTATGAATGCTCTCTAAAACACACGTATAAATAACAACATCATCTTACAATGGCGGACAACCCTCATTTTAAAAAAAAGATTTTTTTTTCTTACAGTAGAAAAAGTCAACGTTCCATTTAATAGAAAAGAATATAAATAAAAAATATATAAAAAATATATAAAAAAATATATATAAATAGAAAAGAATGAAAAATTTCTGAATAATGACATCATAACTTTAAGGAAGTTTATGTTCCCAGCGATAATGGAGTCACTTGAGTAGGATGCTATTAATGTTCCAGGCTATCGTTTCTTACTTTAGAGCCAATGAAAGAAGCGTCTCAAGACCTCTCTGTGAAACTAAGGGAAAATAGCCGTTCCCTTCTGCTTGGACATATTAAAATTCTCTTGAGGAAAATGCACATGTTAAATGAAAAGGTCTGGATAAAGCTTATGTAATAAAATGAAAAACATCAGTCATTCCTTGAAGAATTTAGATGTAAAGATACCACTCCCCCCCCCACTAAAAAATAAGCAATGCTAACCATGTCATCCAATTACATAAAACTATAAAATGAATGAACATGTTACCTAGAAGTAAACGGTCACTGAAACATCGGAAAAGGCACTACAATCAGACTTGATCATTGACCATATCCAAATCAAGCAAAATTACGACTTCAACTTCTGCTAAATGTATAGAGTGGAACATCTTATACTGAGAAGTCATTCCATCACTCCTTCCCCGGTCTTGGGAAGTACATGCCAGTAAACGTAATGCTCTTGGTGCACATTTATCTTGTCTCTAGGTATCCTGGTCTTTCTACTGAAAGTCTCATTAATGTATTACTAAAATGTTACCTTCCTTTGGCTGGTACTAGAAAAATGAGTACACCCAATTTTCAGCATACTATAATTTCAACATATTGTAACTTATATATAAACCCATTACATCCTCATCATTTAAAGAAATATTACATAATTTTAGAATATATATATATATATCCAAATTTAAATTATGCATTCATACTCATTTATTTTATCCCTGCATAAATAGATTTGTCTAATTTTAATGAAAATAAAATCAGTTAGGAAATCATCTTGTATCTAATAAATTTTCAGTGCAGATACATTCATGACTAATAAATCTTCAAATTATTTAAAACACAAGTGGATCAGATATTTAATGAGAAAAACATTACATTTTGTAAAATATTTGTAAGACCTATAACTACATTATAATTTGGCATAAAGTCCTTGCTTTGTCCGGGTTACCCATAATATTAGATAAAATTCTCTATTATATAATCAAACTGTCTTATTGAGTTTCTTTTATCCCTGAACTACATAATAATTACCATTAGGAAGATAAATACAATCTTACAAATTAGAATTAATAATAACCCTTCCCAGGTGTTGCATAAACTGGAAAGCCCAAGAATCAGAAGGTTTGAGACTTATATAAATTGACTCCTTCACTCTAAATTCTTTCCTATAAGATGACTATGAGAATCTGTTTTGGGAATATACTCTAAATTGATTTAATATACTGACATCAAAGGAGATGAATTGATATTATTTCAATGTGTTATTAGACTAACTGGAAGTTCAAATAAACTTTCAGATTTCCAAAGCACTCCTCATTTTATTTATTAATCTCACAGCTTATTTTGCAAACATAATTAAACTACCATTTCCTAGTTTTATTTTTTGTTAGCTTCAAGTCTAATACACATTTCTGAGAAAATAAATAGCATATTTTCTCCTTTTAAAAAATTGATTAGAACCACCTGAATATTTAACCAGCTAGACTAGCTAACACCTTCTATGTAGACATAAGGTGCAAAAGTAATACTGATAACTTCTATGTGGTATTTCAGTTACTAGGATTTCCCTTCTATAGTTGCAGCTTTAAGTCCTGATAAAGATATCTTAAATTATAATTATCATATCCACTCTAAAGCATTATTAAGACTTACTACACTATCATCTTAAAGGGTAAAAAAATTAGTAGTGTATAAAATTGTGACCATAAATTTTCTGTATCATTTAAATTCATTTAAAGTCTTCAATCTGTTCATGACATCTTACAATTAGATATGACTTGCAGTATACGAAGGCTCGGTTTTTCAGAAGTACATGAAAAAATAAAAACCCTTCACATTCATAAGCGTCTCTGTACACGCTGTTGTTATAATTAATATTTTACAAAGAGTCATGCAAATAAATATCACAAACCAAGCCTACACTTTAACATGTCCCTAGCACAGTGCAAAAACAACCAAACAGAGTCCTATTTTGTCCCCATGGAAAGCTACTTCTTTCCTTTCCGTCTTTTCATGTCTAAACTTGTAAACTCAGCTGTACACACACGCGTGAAGTAATTAAGTGGTTATCCTTTCGTCCTTGTACCCGGAAAGTGTTCCCTCTGAAAAGTCGTAGATCCCAGAAGAGACATTACATTTTTCAGGAAGTCATTTAGATGTCAAGCTTTAGAAAAATTTCCTATATGCCTATACAAGTGTGATATGACTGTGTACGCATGGTGTATGTGTGTGGTGTGGAGTGTATGTGTGCTTATGTGTGGAGAATGTGTATGTGTGTTTATATGTGTGTGTGTGTGTGTGCACATGCCTATGTGCATGAAGTCTTCTAAGGTAGGTGAGATAATCATCTAGAATAGAAAACGGTTTTGAAAATAATACACAATATTAATATTCATCAATACGTATGTCAATATCACCGATGCTGTGTGAAGTCAGCTCTTTCCTAAGTTTGTGTAGAAACTTACAAGTTAAAGGTATGTGATTTGAAAAGGATAACCTGGGGTACCCAGGCTGATGTGGGAGTTGAGATAGACTTAAGAAGGGAAGATCTCCTCTTCTTATCTCAAGTGGGCATTTAGAAAAAAAAATACGACTTGGCATTTCTCCTGATAAATCAGAAAGATTTATCTTGGAACGAGCATCTGCTGTCTTTGCTCTGCTGTTGCAGAACCCGCTTGCAGTGCTTTCCTGTTACATATGACTGGTTTTTTCCCTTCCCCCCCCCCCCCCCCCCCCCCGCTGATGGTAATCGCTTATCAGTCTCTGAGGAATAATAGGAAAACAGAGCTTAGATCAGAGATGACGGAATTAGAGATTGCAGAAGCTATTGTCAAGATTCGGTCTAACAAGTACGATCTGCTTGACCTGTTTCTCTGACAGTTATGGAAGTTGTTGTTTCAATAGCTTTCTTTTAACAAGATGTGAGAAGAGAAATGTTTTCCCCCTTAAGATCTTTTAAATTTGAGACTATCTTCCCCCCATTATTTCCTAAACTTTCTTCTAGTCCAAGAGGATCCTGTCAACTGAACCTACACCTACCTTCTGAAGGGAATACGAAAACTGCAGAAACATTTTTATATCTATTCAATATTTTCATATTAAAAGAGTGTGTCGAGACACGAATTTAGTAGCTAAACAGTGGCATTCGAATGCAGCCTTTAAAAAGGTAAAAATGGAATCTCGTGCACAAAAGAAGCTTTAACACAAAAGTTAAACTTCCTGTGTTTCACCAAAGGGTTAAGGCTAGGGAAGTGGACATCAACATGCCCACAAAAGCTAACCAGATTAGCCAGATCAAAGTAAAATCTAAGTCTCCTGATAATTCTGATGTCACTTGCAAAGGTTTTGAAACTTCCCATGTTTTTACCCTTCCATTGTAAAGGCCACCTGGACAAATCTCGGGAGGGTGATGATCTAGCTTTGATTTTACAAACTCAAGAAGCCTTCAAAGTTCAGACTTTGACACTGATGTGCTCTCCCAAACTGTCAGCCCCATAGGACAGATGCAAACAAGAAGATTCTGATAGCAGGCACAGGAGAGGAGCAGCAATTAAGCAACTGAAAGTGGGTTGGAGTGTTGGGTTATTTTTGTTCCATTTGTAGCCTCTTGCAAAGGAAGAGATGGAGTCAAACTTGACACTTCGTTTCTGAGAGCAGGAGCCAGTGGTGATCTACTTGTCTACTCTCGTTCAATTTAATTCTCTATGTGGTTTCATCCCTTCCTGGATTCACATTTTCACACGGGGTTGCAATCTACCCTGCCCTCCAACAGAAAGAAATCTTTTCCTCTTCTTCACTGCCCTTCTTCCCTGTAAGAAAGACAATCCTCCCCCCCCCCCGGGGGGTGTGCTGGCTTAGAATGGGAGGAAGGGGAGGAGGGGGGTGCTGGGGGTGGAGGACAGAGGAGAGAATGGAAGAAGCAAGAAGATGGGGGATGCCCAACATCAACTCCTGGTTCTGAATCACCAGCCCTGTGCAAAGTGCTTTTCCCGGAGATGCACTTGTGGTCTGGCATTTCTCACAATAGGCTTACCGGGGGATCCCTCCCTAGGTCTCCCACCGCCAGAAATCAAGTGGTACCTAGGTCTCTTCGACAGATTCAAGCGCAGAGGTACCAGGGTACCACGGAGGTGGCCGCGCTGCCAGTGGGGCTGCCTTACCTGGAGCGAGGACTCGGAGGTGGTGCGAGTCTTGGTCCCAGCTGCTGTTACCGCGGACCGGTGCGAGGTACACGAGTACTCTCGCTGCCTCCGCTCTCAGAGGGGCAGCCTGCAACACAAAAGGGGTGTGTGGGTGTGGGTGTGGGTGAGGTTTTCTAGGGCCACCAGCTGGTCCCAGCTGGCCGCCCCCGCCCTGCACACACCCCTTCGGGGAGCTGAGCCCCCTGTCGGGTGAGCAGGACCCTGGGGGCTTGCCCGGGTTACAGCCTCAAGTTGCCCACTGCTAACTGCGGATGCTGCCGCTGCAGGAGGAGGAGGAGGAAAGACACTGGGGGCTGAACTCGGTCAGAGCATCCCCACACTGCAGCTTCTCCAGGAATCCCTCCAGTGAGGAGGCGGCCGCCCATCATCTCCCAGTCCCGGCTGTTGATTGGTTCCAACCAAGGTACGCTGCTCAGAAGAGCCAATCAGAGAGCACTAATAATAGGTGGATCCTCTCAGGCAACGGAGCCCAGCCCAGTACTGTTAGTGTCTCTCCATCCCCACAGCGGACAGGGACCTGAGGAGAGGGGTTTAGGAGCGTGGCGGGGGTGGGGTGAACTAAGAGGTAACCAGATCCCAAGGAGAAATACTAAAAGACATTTTCTAAACCCTGTGGGTAGACTCGGGAATGCCCTCAACCTGTTCAATAAGCCATATGCACTGGATAAGAAGCAAGCATAATACAAAGCTTTCTTTCTTTCTTTCTTTTTTTTTAACTTTCAATCAAAACCTGACTTGATACTGAGCATGCCCAGACCTCCACAGCACCCTAGGAGTTTCAATATGTGCGAGTTCTAGGTTGAAAAGGTGGGAGCTGGGACCGGAGAGAGGCAGAAGTTTGTCTTTGGCTATTTGACACCGCGGAGTTGGGGAAGCAAGCAGGAACAACCGAGATAGAGGTGGTCCTTCTTGCTTTGGGAGACTAGTCGCCTCATTCCGTCTAAACTCGAGTGGGAAGCCAGGCTCCGATAATGTCAGGGCAGCTAGATGCTTGGAGACCGCCCAGGAAGGGTGTGGTGGACCAGAACTGTAGGCAGGCTCCATCCCATAGGTGGGGCGGAGGAGTGAGGCTCCACCCAGCTGCAGCTGCTAGGCAGTGGAGCGCCCAGGGAGTTTCCATACAGCGACCAGTAAGTTTGGAGACTTGGGTCAAGTGCGACCTTGTTAGGCACTCTGTTTTTCCACCTTCTTGGGCTTCTGCTCGTTCCCACCTCCATCTCTCTTCACCCCTTGCCAGCACGGTCGGGGAACTAAAGGGCTTTCTCCCTCCTTCCTAGCTGAACCCTTCTGTTCGGGAAGTAAGAAGCTTTTCCCCTGTGAGAGCCGCGGTGACCTGATTGTCTCTAAGCTCCCAGGCAATTTATAGCTTGGTAATACGGAGAGATGCCAAACAGGGAGGCTGTGAGGCTTGGCGGGGAGGGCAGGCTCACTGGCCCTGGGGTGGAGCCCAGCTCCCAAGGGCAGGAGCCCTTTACTCCACAGGTGAAATACTTTCCTGTCGGTAACAGAGATTTGCCTTTCCCTACTCTCTTGACCTTGCTCCGTGCCCTCTGAACCTCTTGCTTTGCTTAGAAATCTTAGCAGTTTGTGTAAAGGTGATCAATAGCCACAAATAAGCACTCCCCTAATTGGGCTCTTTATTTTCCTGACAGGATGATCGTGGCATCTCAGGTAGGGAAATAAATAGCGATCTCAATTCCCCAAACTCATCCACTTTGAACTGGAGTTTTATTAACACTGGTGTGGAGAGGTAACTGTAGCAAGAATTCAATTAACGGTAACACATTTCTTCAGGTTTGTAATTAAATCTCTTCTATTTATATAATGTTTAAGATTAAGAACCTTATTCTGAATATATATATATATATATATATATATATATATATATGGCAAAAGAAGACGACTTTCCTATAAATGTATCCTTCTGGGACACGAACCCTTGTGTTTTGCACTTTGTTTGCATTTATCAAGAATTTAGAATGAGAGGTAAACAAAGAAAATAATACACTTTCAACTTGTAACTTTATGTAAACATCCACCTTCCAAAATAGCCCATGAGCCTTATTTGAAAATAGTTTCATAGGTGAAAAAAGGAGATTACAAACATTGTAAGTTGATTTGAAATGCTTGGCCAAGGAAGAGGGGCGGGAGAACCTGAAAAGGAGGAGGAACTTATGGGGTCCTTGTAAGAGGAAGTAGAAAAATTGGATATCTATATTCTCCAATGAAGATGTGTATGTGACAGAAGCATTATAATATCAAGCTAATGGAAATTTTTATTTTATAAAATATATATATAGCTCTCTCTTTAGTTATATTTTTTAGTTAAACACTACATGCTTTTCCTAATTACCAACAGCAACATGTAGAGAAAAGAGCATATTAATAATTAGAACTGGAATATGGAATTTTTGAATTTCTGTTCCAAACCTTGGGACAGAAACCTATAATCATTTTAGCCAATTTCTTTTTCTGTCCACCTCATAGTCTACCCACAGTGTCCTTCTAGGGGCCATGGATATGTCAGAAACCCCACCTGTACCCCTCAGTGTTTCTTGGAGGGGACAGTTGCCTGTAATAAGAAATGGGATTTGGGCATATTTCATTGTACTTAATTTTAGAATTAATAGCAGTTTTACTTATTAATATTAAGATAATACTAACTGGATACAAAGTAGTTTTTTGTTGTTGTTGTTGGGGTTTTTTGGGACCCAGAGCTGTGAAAAATTAAAAGTAACCAATTTTTCATATATATATATATATATATATCCTTTCACTTCACTTTCTGCCATTGTTTCTTAAGATACGGCTCCCACTTTCTTTGGGTTTTTCTTTTTAAGACAGGGGATTGACTAGGCATTTGTTTTCTGGCCTGAGAATTTTGTAGAATCTCAGCCTTAGAACTAATTGGCTGTATGACCTTGAAAGATGTCTAAGAACCTCTCCAAGCCTTGGAGAGTTTTGGGTTGCTTGTTTCTCATATGTACATAACACATACTTTTAGGGATTTTGCAAAGATTAAGAGACACAGTTCAAAGAAGATCCTAATTCCCACCACCTCACGAGGTAAGAAGGGCTTCAGTGACTATAATTATTTCACCATTATATCATTCTTATTGCTGCTTCTATGTTCTTTTCTTCCCCCTCCCCCAAGTTTCTAAGAGAGTGGATTTTCTGCTATCATTTCATATACTTAAGCCAATATTGAGAAAGACCCTTTACCTACATTTGAAAAACTATAAGAACTTTCTAATTGGGGACTGAAGAGATGGCTTGCGCTGCTGAAGACTGAAGACTGAAGAGAGTCGAACTGCTCTTGTAGAGGATTCAGGTCCTGGTCTTAACATCAAAGTCAGGTAGCTCATGACTGCTGCCTATCACTTTAGTTCTAAGGGGTTTGATGCCCTCTTTTGGCCTCCACGAGTGTCTCCATGTGCATGGTATACATACAGCTTAGCAGACACACACATACATATAAATAATAAAGACAGAAATAATGAACAAACCAAAGAAAGAAAGAAGTGAAGGAAAGAAAAAAAGAAAAAAAACCTTGTGTACAATGACATATGAACAGCCTCCTCTCCCCCTGTGTTGTTCATAGGTTGTATCCTTCTAGGAGATAAATTATAAATTTATGAATTTATGGAGAAGTAAAGCTTTATCATTTTTGTTGGTGAAATTTAGTTTGAATTAGCCTTTTAAACCAAGAAATATCCTATTCTAATGGCAAGATAATTGACGAACACTATTTTCCCTGGGAAAAAAATGCTTTTAAAGACTACCATAGCAATCCATTTTGATTTCTTGTCTACTCTGGCCTGGCATTATCACTTTCTTTTTCTTTTTTTTATTGCTAACATATCTATTTTCTCACATAATATATCTTGATTATGTTTTCCCATCCCTCTACTCCTCCCAGCTCCTCCCCACCTCCCCTTCCATCCTGATCCACCCCCTTCTGTCTCTCATTAGAAAACAAATAGGCTTCTAGGGGATAAATACAATATAATGTAATAAGATAAAACAAAAATCTAACACTTCAGGGTTGGATAAGACAAACAAACAGAAGGAGAGAAGACACAAGAATCTGAGACACACTTATATACACACTTAGGAACCCAATAAAAACACTAAACTGGAAGCCATAATGTATGCATGCAGAGGTCCTGGTCAAACCCATGCACACCCTGTGCATGCTACCTCAGTCTACGTGAGGTTAAGGGATAATAATAAAATATAACACAGTAAGTTAAAACAAAACCACATTGGAACAAGACAAAATAAACATAAGGGAAAGATCCCAAGAAAAAGCACAAGAAACAAGTATAGAGGCAGAGACAAGCTGGTTTGAATACTCAGGAATTCCATAAAAACACTAAACTGGAAGTCACAATATGTAGGCAAAGGACTTGTAGCATAAAAAGAGAGGATATATATATATATATATATATATATATATATATATTATACATATGTA